AAAAAGTCGAAACCAAAGAAGTTCTTTTTCGGTGTTTTACTTTGAAATCTTCAGTCCCACAACTAGGGGTGGGAATCTCTAGGCACCTCACGATTCGATTCGATTACGATTCAGAGGGCTGCGATTCGATGCTAAATCGATTATCAGAATCTTTTTTTTGTGTGTGTGTGACTATAAATACTTTGCTTTAAAAGTACAAAGTAATGACCCATAAAGAATTAACGTACAATATATTTTATTAACATTGCAAAGAACCAACAGGAAAATACATGTGTGTCTGAACTAGCAGCAGCATATTTGTAGTAAATTAATAATATAACAACGACCGGTAACGTTACAGCCGAGTGTTTTTCCTCCTCTGGCTGGAAACGTGTCATTTGGCTTCATGTGTCTTGTTTTCGAAATATTTTAGTTTTACTCTACAAAGCTTACAACTAGTGTGGCTCTTGTCCAGCTCCTTTCCCCCTTCAACTTCAGAAGCCAAAATATTTCCACACGTCAGCTTTTAACGAGGAGGGTGTTTGGATTTGGCGCTCAGCCATCGCGTCCGCGTCTGTTATGTGCACGCCACAGACGGTCCGGCCACTGCACTTCCGCGCTTCAGAGTTCCGTCTTTCGCGTTCCGTCAATATTACGTTATTATAAATATATATCTAAAAAAGTTTTTTTTTTTTTGAAAATCGATTTTTGACAATTGTGAATCGATTCAGAATCGTCCACGTCCGCATCGCGATGCATCTAAGAATCGATTTTTTCCCCCACCCCTACCCACAACGTAATTATTTGTGAAACTACAATACAAACAGAAAATGTACATTAAGTATTAAGTATGAATAAAAGTACATTTTAAGATTGAAAACAATCTAGTGTTAATATATGAAATAGAGAAAACTATCTTCTTTGAAAATGTACAGCAAATCTTTCTTAGATCATATGAAATTCTCCTTTTTTAACATAAATGATATTAAATAAACAAACTTACAGACGATGGCCTCTTTGGAATGAAATAACAGAAGAATATAGCTTTTATCAGAGAGACATCTGCTGCTGCATCACTGCTGTTGTGAAGTGAAAACTAAGATGGCCACCATGACCTCTAACCTAAGTCACATGATGCATCTTAACCAATTAAAGTAACCCAAAATTAAATGACTACTTAAATAGTCAGAACAGGTGTTGTTTAATATCTTTGCAGCGACTTTCGGCCTGTTGTAAGATAAAATCTTTACAGATTCAGCAGGAGCTCTGAAAAACAGATCTTACTCCATGTTTCGCTCAACAGCACCCCCATTTATATGATTTTGAGAATTTTTCTTGTGCTTTTGGGTCAGTAATGGTGTACGTCTTGGAGTTCTGGCATGAAAACCACATTAGTTTAGTACGCGCCTTACTGTGGAGCTGAAACCTCAGTGCCTGTTAAGTCTTGCTGCAGGTTTTTTGCAGTTGTCGTAGATTTTTTCCCTAAACCTAACTACCTACCAATCTTATACTCTGGCGCGTCTCCTCGTCGACGTCGGCCGAGTCTAACCCTATACCCTAGCGCGTCTACTCATCAATGTCGGCTGCGTGCTAAACTACCTATACCCTAGCGCGTCTACTCATCGACGTCGGCTGGGTGCTACCTATACCCTAGTGTGTCTACTCATCGACGTCGGCTGGGTGCTACCTATACTCTAGCGCGTCTACTCATTGACGTCGGCTGGGTGCTACCTATACTCTAGCGCGTCTACTCATCGACGTCGGCTGGGTGCTACCTATACTCTAGCGCGTCTACTCATCAACGTCGGCTAAGTCTACTCCAGCGAGTCTACAATCGACTACAGATGAGTTCCCTACCTATACTCAAACTTACTTGCTTACTAACTTACTTGCTTCCCTAAACTGACCTGCTGCGCAGCAGTAATAACAGACAGACCTCAGCAAATGTTACGGCCGGGAGATCTTTCCGAGCAGTTCTCAGGAAATCTCCCAAAAAGAAGCAATAAGCATGGCCGGTGGATCTCAGACACATTCCATTGAGAATCCCACCAGTAAAACACAAATACAACAGTTTTATAGAATAAGGAGGTATGGCAAAAAATGACATGAAACATTACTTAATTTGATTGGTTCTTCATAGACAAGCCCTCTTGTTACTAGGTAACCAAACTCTGTTTTTGGTTTCGAGTTTAGACACCTGTCTAGTTTCATTTCCCATATTTGTTATTTATACACACAAACACACACACTCAAAGTCAAATGTTTTCCCTTGGTTTCGTACAGTACATTCTGTTCAAATGTTAGATGTTAAATAAGGTTAGATGTTAGTCTAACCTGGTTAGTTTAATATATATAGTTTAAAATTTCCACCACACAGTCACTCGGGGGGGGGGGGGGGGGGGGGGGGTTTCTGAACCTGCCTTCCCAGAAATCTGGTTGCAGCCATTAATAGCTTCCTTTTTCTAACACATCCTGGTAGTGTAACCATAGTTCCTTTAACTTTTAACTTGCAAACTATGCTTCCAACGGTGTCTCTAAGAACATTAAGGGGCTGTTTACACCTGGCCACTGGAGGTGGTCTGGGCCGCATTCCAGACGAAACTGGACAAGTGTAAATGCATCTGGTTGTTGATACCACATATGTCAATTTTACTCCTCCCAAAAATGCTAAAAAATAAACGTGTGAGAGCATGTTATAGGCTATATGTAATGTTATAGCCAGATATGACGGCGCTACTGCAACACGCATTACCGCAGATGAGCAGCTGAGCATCTATTCATCAAGCCAACAAGCAAACTATCGCAAATCAAAGTGAAAGTAAGTCGCAGACGCTTAACACACAATCATCTTCATTAAAAGTAAAGAAACGAAATGATCTCACCAGTGCTGTTGCCGCTCTCTCTTATTGCGGTCTTTGATTTAGATTTTAGCTGATGATCAATAAAATGCAGCTCATATCTGTTGCTTTCGGTGACGTGCACTCCATTAAATCTGCATATAGCGCGGGAATTAAAGATCAGATTTATATCCGTTTTGCGAAAACACATTTTTGTGACCAGGTGTAAATGGAATCGTTTTGATAAATCAGATAGCTATCCGATCTGAGAAAACACATGAAGTGGCCAGGTGTAAACAGCCCCTTAGTGCCTTTGCTATCTTTTTGTATCCTGTTCCTTGTTTGGGAAGGGTGATGATATCTTCTCTTTTTGGACCATTCTTTTGACTAAGCCATATTTCTAACATGCAGTCAAGCGTGACACTCAACAAACCTAGACAGTTCAGCTATTTCATGTGTTCTAGCTCAAGCACACCTGGTACAACTAATGAAGCCCTTGATTAGTTACATCAGGTGTGCTTGAGACAACTCCTGTTTTGCAGATTTGTGCTGCTGTGAGGGATTCTATTCAGGGGGTTGAATAATTTTGAGACTACAGAAGTCATTAACAGTTGCATTTTCAGTTGAATTTGGGGAAACCACTTGAAACATTGGTTGTGTTGAGCTATTTCAGTTACTTTTGTTTGATTTGTTCATTGCAAACAGCTGAAAGTCTGTAAATTTTGCCAATGAACCTGATTTGCAATGGGGGTTTAATTATTTTGATTACAACTGTGTATACACACACACACACACACACACACACAGATATATATATATATATATACACTCACCGGCCACTTTATTAGGTACCCCATGCTAGTAACGGGTTGGACCCCCTTTTGCCTTCAGAACTGCCTCAATTCTTCGTGGCATAGATTCAACAAGGTGCTGGAAGCATTCCTCAGGGAGTTTGGTCCATATTGACATGATGGCATCACACAGTTGCCACAGATTTGTCGGCTGCACATCCATGATGCGAATCTCCCGTTCCACCACATCCCAAAGATGCTCTATTGGGTTGAGATCTGGTGACTGTGGAGGCCATTTTAGTACAGTGAACACATTGTCATGTTCAAGAAACCAATTTGAAATGATTAGAGCTTTGTGACATGGTGGAAGTAGCCATCAGAGGATGGGTACATGGTGGCCATAAAGGGATGGACATGGTCAGAAACAATGCTCAGGTAGGCCGTGGCATTTAAACGATGCCCAATTGGCACTAAGGGGCCTAAAGTGTGCCAGGAAAACATCCCCCACACCATTACACCACCACCACCAGCCTGCACAGTGGTAACAAGGCATGATGGTTCCATGTTCTCATTCTGTTTACGCCAAATTCTGACTCTAACATCTGAATGTCTCAACAGAAATCGAGACTCATCAGACCAGGCAACATTTTTCCAGTCTTCAACTGTTCAATTTTGGTGAGCTCTTGCAAATTGTAGCCTCTTTTTCCTATTTGTAGTGGAGATGAGTGGTACCCGGTGGAGTCTTCTGCTGTTGTAGCCCATCCGCCTCAAGGTTGTGCGTGTTGTGGCTTCACAAATGCTTTGCTGCATACCTCGGTTGTAACGAGTGGTTATTTCAGTCACTGTTGCCCTTCTATCAGCTCGAACCAGTCTGGCCATTCTCCTCTGACCTCTGGCATCAACAAGGCATTTCCGCCCACAGAACTGCCGCTCACTGGATGTTTTTTCTTTTTCGGACCATTCTCTGTAAACCCCAGAGATGGTTGTGCGTGAAAATCCCAGTAGATTAGCAGTTTCTGAAATACTCAGACCAGCCCTTCTGGCACCAACAATCATGCCACGTTCAAAGTCACTCAAATCACCTTTCTTCCCCATACTGATGCTCGGTTTGAACTGCAGGAGATTGTCTTGACCATGTCTACATGCCTAAATGCACTGAGTTGCCGCCATGTGATTGGCTGCTTAGAAATTAAGTGTTAACGAGCAGTTGGACAGGTGTACCTAATAAAGTGGCTGGTGAGTGTATATATATATGTTAGACTAAAATATATTAAGACTAATCTGACATTTTCAACAGGGACTTTATTTTTTAATATTCGTTTTTGTGGTTTACAAAAAGCCATTTGTAATATGGGGTCTGTTGATTAACTCTGTATCATAATTTGATTCATAGGTTTACTTGTGAAAAAGATCCTCTTAGATGCCTCGAAAGATCCTGATCTCAGTGCACTGATCAAGAACACGAAGGGAATTTTGTTCTACAGTGTTCCTCATCACGGCACATTCATGGCTGGGTATTCTGTAAATGTCCGATACCTCCTGTTTCCTTCCATTGAAGTAAAAGAACTATGTAGAGGTATGATGTGACTTATTTTTGTTCTCTAAGTTTTAATATAATGTCAAAGGTGCCGTAATCAATTTCTGAGAATCACTGTTGATATTTGAAATCACAAACACACCCCTCCCTTCATTGCTCCGCCCACAAAATGTACAAAAACTCAATGCAAGAGTGGATGTCTTTTTATCATTGCTGAAGCAAAGCAAAATAATGCTTCTCAAAAAAATAAAGCGAATATGATGAACAAACAACGAGGAAGAAAAAAAATGAACATACAGGTATACAAGCATGAGTTGGTTGTTAGTCGCCAGCAGCACACCAGCTCCAGACAAACAATGACACTCAAAACTGTCCTGTTACTATAGCTAACATTACAACAACTGCATATCTTGGATCTGTAAAACAGCAAAAACAATGTTACTCACGTATGGAGCAGAAATATCGCAACCTCTGTGTCAGTTTTCAGGATTTCCCACAAGTGTGTTGTGGTTCTCGATCGGATCCACTTTCAACAGCGTTTCTCAGAAATTGCTTACTGACCCTTTAATTCATCCTGATACGATTAAGATCCTACAGTATATGTCTCAGTTACACATCATTTTTCTTTTCATTTATTTCTACTCAGACTCTCCAGCTTTGCGGGACTTACATGAACATTTTCGCAGCATTGCAAAGGATCAAGAGTACAAGGTCCTTAGCTTTGCAGAAACGTTGCCTACATCCATTGGGCCAATGCTCAAAATTTTGGTAGTTCCACCCCAGTCGGCAGGTAGGTCAGAGCAATTGAACAACAAACAGCAGCAGTTCTTTCTCATCATCATTCTTAGATAATTGTCAGTTTTAGGTATCTGACATCTCCAAATTTCTCCTTTTTTTCATTCAGATCTGGGTATTGGGGACCTCATCCAGGTGGATGTAGATCACCTCAACATCTGCAAGCCAGAAAAAAAGGACACTTTTCTCTATAAACGTACTTTACAATTTATTCAGGATGCTCTTGGAGGACAGAGAATGAAGTAAACTCTGAAAGGAAGTCCACAGTCCAAAACCAATCTCTTGCCATGTCATTGCCTCTTGAGGATTCAACCATTACATAAAAAAAATTATAATTTGACCTCTACTGAAAGGAAGTACTAAAATCGCAACTGAACCTTTTTTTCATGATCCTTTAACCATTTCATGTCCATTAATTTGTGAGATGGAAACACCACTGACCTTTCAGTTTTATTTATTTTTTCTTTTCATTTTTAAATTCTTGCCAATATGAATATGCTTTGTCAAAACATCTGGGTTTACCTTTTCATGTTTTGCCCTCTTCACCATTGCCTTGTACTGTATTTTGCTTAAATTATTTTAAGTGAGAACTTTTCAGCATTTATTTTACCTTTAAGCTATAACAAAAAGAAATGAGGATCAAGTTTATTGTTTACTATATCACGTCACATTTTTAAAACTCATTTATAGAAAGTCCGTTTTATTTATTCTTGGAAGAAAAATACATATTTAATAACACAGACTAAAAAACTAGCCTTATTTTCTTAACTCACCAGCCTTCTTTGTATCCCTACCTCAGTTACAGGTTGGTTGTGATCTTGGCGGTAATTTTCCAGTATTTTTTCACTAATGTATTAATTGTAATACTTGCATGGGACCCTACTACTTTGATTTTGATGGTGACTGTGCAAGACACAATAATTGTGACATCTTTATCACGCTGAATAAAGCTGTGTATCCTAACTTTATATTCCACTTAAATCATATACTTTTACTACTTTTTTTACACTGAATGGGTATTTCTGAATTACTATTTCTACACTAAATGGGATTATATCACTTTTTATGAGCAGCTTTTTCTTCTCAGAACTGTGCTCCTGGCCAACAGGGGGCAGTAAAGCTCACAAACCGAATGCTAGTCAGTTAGTAGAGGAAGACTATTGCGACTAGATCATTTTGTTATTTTCCTGAAAATTTTGGTTTGTAAATTCACAAGATAGGCGTATGCGTTTGGAGAGACGCACAGTATGTCAAACGTTTGTAACGATTACAAACATTCATGATGTACTGCTAACTTTTTTTTATTTCTAATGTTCGAAACAACTTTGCCTTTTGTCCTCAGATAGAAACAGACGCTTTAACTGAAGGAACAGCAGTGTTATCACATCCCGTCAAAAATGGTTAACGTCTTAAAAGGAGTTCTCGTTGAATGGTAAGTTTTACAAGTCACAAAAACGATTTAAAGGTGCATACAGTAAATTATCTCACATTTAAAAATTAAAAAAAAAAAAAAGATTTCAACTGTGACTTTAAAAAATATGTATGTTTGAAATCATGTTCACTTAAATTAAATTATACTCCAGTCAGATCAGTAGCCTAAATCCGTTTTATTTTACATGGAGCGAGTCACCACATGCCATTGGTAACATTGCGTGCCCAGCAAAACACCATTGACTGTAACCAGTTATTTAATATTTGCTTGTGGTATAAATAATCATTGCTGACAGTGACTAGAGTATTACTTCAATGTCATCTCTAACTGAAAACCTTTGCTTTTGCATGTGGCTACATCCTTGACCCATCTTATCCAGTCGATGCCTAACAAACAATAACATTCTGAGTGCACCTTAAAAATAAAAGTTATGCGTCATTGCACCTTCATTTGTGGTTCTTCTTTTAAAATATGAAACAGTGACCCAGCTATGAAGCAATTTCTTCTATATCTGGATGAGACGTCAGCGTTGGGGAAGAAATTCATCATCCAGGATTTGGATGACACGCATGTTTTCATCCTAGCTGAAGTTGTGCAGATTCTCCAGGAGCGAGTAGGAGAACTGATGGACCAGAATTCATTTCCCATCACCCAGAAATAAACGCCTGCATCTGACAGCAGACCCTACAGTATGTGAGAGCAGATGGATGTGGAGATTCTTCCAGCACAATTGCACAAACACAATTGCGCAACTGAAATATATAGATGACTGCCCACCAGAATGATGCCTATTTGACTGTGTGGCATAAGTTCTTCTTCTGAGAGAATTATAATTATGTGCTTTAAGTTGCCCATGTTTCAAAGACAGTTTCTTGAATCTTTTCTGTGTTCTCAAAGTATTATTAATGAATTATTTTGAGTTGAAAATCACATTGGCTGCAGAAAGAAACAACTAATTGTATATCAATTATTTTTTTCAACATTTCAAAGTTGTTTAAAAAGTACAACATACTACTGAAAGCAGATGGTTGAAGGCAGTGATATTTATAAACATTCATAATACAAGCATCAATTAAAAAAAAGTAAAGACAATATAACAAGTGTTCTTAGTATCTCCTTAATTTGTTTTCTGGATGCATTGCCGACTGCTAGATACTGACAGGTACCAGACTACAGTTTCAGGCTCCCAGTGTTTTCTCAACAGATTTCTATTGAAACACCAGATCAAGCCACTGGCAGAAGGATATTATAGGGTATTTAGACAATTGAGATGTGTATGTGGTCGGGAAACTGGTGAAAGATTTTATCTTGTAGTGTGAGGTGAAAAACAGCAAAATCAGATAGCCAGAGTCAATGGCATTACATTTCCAAAATGTACTTCTTGGAAGGGAAAGTGGTGCAGTATACTCTTGGAATAACTTAGGAGTTTACCTAAAATGTTATACTCACTGGCTATACAACACCACAATAAGGTGCTATTTCCTTTATTTTTGTTTCCAACGAAGACCTTTGTGTGGAAATAAGAGGAAGTGTTATTTTGGGTTAGACCAAGAGCTTTGCAGTGTTAGATCCAGGTTATTTTGTTATCAGGTACCTAACAGCTAGCTGTCTGTCTGTCCATCTAACCGTTTCATCTATCATCTCTCTGAAAAAAATACTTGAATGGTACTCCACAGACAGACAAAATACAACAAATATCACTGCTATATAAACAAAAAATATACATGTACAGAAATGACAAAATAATTGACAAAATAATTGACAAGATAATCAGTGAAGAAATGACAATAAAGTGACATTTTTGACATTATAAAGTCTCCAGTATTCTTACCTAACACTAACACAAGTGATAAACATTAGTGTTAGTTAAACATTAGTTGAGATGTAGAGCAGTCTTATGGCATTGGGGTAGAAACTTGCCTTCTTGAGACAGCATGTAATAGATGTCCTCAGCTGCTGGTAGTTGTGTGCCAATTATTTTCTGAGCTGTCTTAACAACCCTTTGTAGGGCTTTCCTTTCCAGTGTGGAGCAGCTGCCATACCATATCAATCTGTTTCATCTATCTATGTCTATCTGTCTATGTCTGTCTATCTGCCTGTTTGTCTGTGTCTATCCGTCTGTCTGTCTATCTATATCTGCCTGTCTGTCTAGCGATCGATCTGTCTTTCTTTCTATCTATCTGTCTGTCGGTCGTTTGTCTGTCTATCTGCTTGTCTATCGATCTATCTGTGTCTGTGTCTATTTATCTTTCTGTCTATCCGTCTGTGTCTATTTGTCTGTCTATCTTTCTGTCTGTCTGTCTGTCTGTCTGTATCAATCTGCCTGTCTGTCTGTCTGTGTTTGTCTATCTATCTATTTATCTATTCTATTCTGAGTCCAATCAGAGCGAAGCAAATAGTAAATCTGTAGTTGTTTATTTCAAATGGTAGCCTACTTAAAATATTATGAATTTGATAGCCTCTATAACCTTTTTAAAAATCTATTTTAAAAATAAATATTAAATAAACTATGTTGATTTTGGTTTGTGAACTCAGTCACTTTAAATGTTTACGCGTTCATACCGCATCTGTGTTAGTCACACACTGTATTTGCAACGCATTTCTGAGCCCTTGTTCTCCAGACAGCGCAGATGTGGCGCTCGGTTCTGTGTGAAGTTCTCGAGCGTGCGCACATCCACCTCCACTCACTCACGCACAAAGCGCTTCTGCTCAGGTTACTGTAAATGAGACCTCCAGTCTTACTACAATTACCTGTTTAATGGACTAAAATAGCCAGCAGGACCAGAAGCCATAATATGAAGAAACGCTACATGGATATAGGCAGGCTACGGAAAATGAAAAAGATTAAGCTCACGGAGAAGATTTCCGAAAGGTATGACAGCGCGCGCTGCTTTGTTGTTTTGTTATTGCTCTTATTCGTCGTCACCTGAATGGCTCGCGCTTGGCTATTCATAGCGCGCTCAACGGATTGACGCAAACAACAAACAAACAGCATCTGCTGTTATGATAAGAAATCGGGGTTTAATTCAGAGCGAAAGCTCGCTGTGATTTAATGGATGAACGCAGGGCCGAATCTATAATATTTCGTGTGGAAACAGTGCAGCGGGCCACGCTGCTAACAAAATATTTAAATAAATAAAAATATCCGCCACTTAACATTAGCATTGCATATTAAGAAATGTTATGGTATTTCATTTATTTAAAGCTCTGATATTATTGAGCCTAGTTATTATGTTGTTTGATGCAGTGTCATCCAAGTAGTCTTGTTATTTCTTCATGACAATACGATGTCTGAAAACACAGACAAACTGACAAGGGCCTCTGACTAGACAATATGCGCGTAGGAATGTCGTCTATGTAATATATTTTTTCTCAGAGATTATTTTGTTTCTGAGCTGTATAATGTGCCGTGAATTATGCATATCTATAAATTAATATAGCCTGACTTTAATAGAGCTGTGTTTATAAGTTGTTGGGTGCGTTTTTATTCGATCAGGTTTGCTGATTTCAGACTATTGTTCCTAGTGAGGTTAACACACAACAGTGTAGTCTGAACTGACGCCGTCTCTTATAGTGTAAGTCATCTGGACAATTAGCCTCCTGTGTTTATAGCTACGCTTCATAGTGAAATGAACGTGCGCAGATTTCTCCTGAAGCGGTTCTTTAAATAGACATGGCAACACTGTAGATTCGACGTTTAGGTGCTGATGCAGAAGATGAAATGTTGCCATGGTTACCAAACACAAAAGGATGTGGAGAGCAGAAAGCCCGAACAAAGGAATGGAGCACAATGGACTGTGCGACCAAAACATGGATTGTAACGTCTTCAAGAACTTACTTTGGGCCTTAACATCTAACGTATATTCTGACTCATATTTCTTTTGAAATACAGAACAGGATTGTTTGTTTTTGAGTCAATAGGAAGCAAAAAAAAAAAAAGTATAAACAGAACCCGCGTTTCTGTAGAACGCGTAGTTCTGACTTCTGTTTCGACTTTAGTTAAACGTCAAACATATTTATTTTTTTATTAATAAAAAATAATTCACATAAAACAATTGTCTGTTATTGGTCAATAACTCAAATAACACTGCAAAATTACGATTCTTTGTTGGGGGGAATAGACTAAAATCGTAATTCTATGTCCTGTTTTCAGCGCTTACTCTGTTCTGAAGTTCATGATTGTCTGGATGCTGGTGCTGTTAGCTGACTTTGTTCTGGAGTTCAGACTGGAGTACCTGTGGCCTTGCTGGCTCTTTCTAGGGACCGTCTACACCACCTTCCACTGTCATGGACTGGTAGGCAGCATGCAATTGTATTGTTTATTTTTAGAATAATAACAAAACCTTTTCTATGGTAAAAAAAATATATTTTCTTGTTCCATTTTTATTTCCTATCTAATATATGATATCAATTTTATGTTCTGCTGCCTTTGTGCATTTCAAATGACATAAAAAACAGACTTAAAGAAAATAACCTCTGCTTTTCTTTTACAGGCCATCTGTGTGGTTTTTGTGTGTGCAGCATTTACCCTGGACTTATTCTGTTTAATTTTTGTACCCTTACACTGGTTGTTTTTTGCAGCCAGCACATATGTCTTACTCAACTATATGTGGCATACAGGTAAGCCTTAAACGCTTCTAATGAAGTTGCCATTTCTTTAACACGCACAGATAGAGTCTGTATAAAATGATTGTTGGTTTAAATTAAAAAAGTAAGTAACCTGGTTGTCTTACATTTTTAAGTTTATTGAAATTAAAAACTTGAGTTAATATAATGATTGGTTAAATCAGCAGAAATTCAAAATATTATGTTATCTGAACCACATAAATTGATTTGACAAAAGAAAATTGTTGTGATAACAAATCATGAAAATATTTTTTTACAGTGATGCACCTGAAAGTATTACAGACTGTCTATAAACTTATGTATGTATTTACTTACTTACTCACGTACTTACTTGCAGAGAAGGGCATCTGTATGTCAACTGTGACATTATGGATACTCTTAGTGTATATGGAGGCCTCTCTACGGTTGAGGGACCTGAAAAGCCCTCATGCAAATCTGTCCCATCTATTTGCTGCACACTGGTAGGTCCTAATTGTCCATTTTAGAGCAAAATGTTATTTGGGGTTTTAAATGAACTACAACTTCACCAGCTGTGTTTCATACTGTACAATAATTATTTCTTCCAGCATTGGTTATCCACTAGTGTATATGGGATTTGATGCAACCTGCTACTTCTCCGGTATGTTTAAGCTGCGTACTCAGAAATCTGTTCAGAGTGACAGTGACCTCCACATGGATCTCCTGCAACAATCCCTACCTCCTTATATGCACCTGTACCCAAAATTGGTGTTGGAAGGTACGTGAAATTTCTTTAACGGTATACCATATAATAAGAGACATATTTCCAAAAGTCTTTCTAAAATGTTCAATAGTTTGATATTGTTTAAAGAGAGCATTATACCCTTTTACAAAGTCTAAATGTTGTTTTTGGGGTCTACTAGAATATGTTTTCATGCTTAAATGTTAAAAAAAAAACATTTTCCCCATATTTTACATCGTAATTTGCTGATTGGTCAGCTGGGCCAGTGCGTTGTGATTGGTCAACCACTTTGATTGTGTTTTGGAAAAGTCACGCCCCTTTATAACCATGTGTTTCTACACACTATAACGCAATTCAACCAGGCCTTGTCCCACTTTTTTTTTCTTTTCTTTTTTTGTGTGGATGTGTCGGGCGAAAATTATTTAAATGATATAGTGATATATGATACATGTGTGACATGT